CTAGGCCAGATGTAGTGGCTCATGCATGTAATCCTAGCACTTTGGGAGGCTGAGGTGGGAGGATTTCTTGAGCCCAGTAGTGGAGACCAGCTTGGGCAACATTTTTTTTTTTTTTTTTAAAGAAGAGTTGGAACTAAGGCCATGGGACAAGATGCTGGCAAAGTTGACAGGGAGTTGGAGACAGAAAAGAATTGGAATTACGTACGAGAATAGGAGTGTTGTGTGGCTTGTCAATCATATGACAACAACCTCCCAGGGACTCTGGGAAACTGGCTGAGTTGGGCCAGTAAGGAAACTCAAGTTTTGGGAAAAGATTCTGAGATGAGATAAATAATTTTCTGGAAGCCAGGAAGTTTGGCAGCTCCAGCAATTCTTCCTATAGTTATTTTTATCATTTATTTTATTACATTCCTATATTTATTTTATTAAAATTTATTTTAATTTTTATTTTCCTCATTATAAAAACAATATATGTTGATGTATAACGTTTATTTAATTCCTTTTATATGCTAGGTACTGTGCAGACTTTTAAAAAGCATGATTCATATGCTCCTCACTACAGGAATAGGTTCTATTATAATCTCTCTTTTACAGAAAATGGAAGCTTAGAGTTGAGTGACTTGGCTGAGGTTACACCTCCAGTAGGTGGCAAAGAGTTGCATTCAAATCTGCCTAACTTCAAAGCCTATTTCCCTTATTCCCTGAACCTCTCTGTCTCTTTCTACATGATTGTTAGGAGAGAAGAAGAAACAAAGATAAAAAACCTCATAATTCAACAACTCAAAGAAAGAAATATTAACATTTTAGTAAATATTTTTATTGTCTTTTCTATACACATAACTTTTTTCATATATTTATACTCTCTTTGAGTATGCAAAATAGTGCATCTCTGATTTTATTTAACGAAACACAAACATTTCCCCAAGTTAAAGCAAAAACAAAAAAGCCCTGAACTCCATTTTACTAAGCCAAGATGATATACCATGTTCCATATAACTGTTCTCCTATCACTGAACACTAATGTTGTTTTCAAGTTTCCAATATTTAATTTGCTTTTAAAAATGTTGTTGGGGGACTATTTTTACAAGTACCTATTACTGAAATCTCGGACATATCTCTATGGCTGACTCAATATGAGGGATAAAGAAATGGGTGAAATAAAAATTGTGTGGACTTCTTTGAAAAATCTCAAGATTTGGGCCATTTCTTTCCTTTGGGTGTCCATCACTTCAATCCAATGACAACTCCCATGGGGCTTCCTGGGTTCTTTTCTCCTTCTATCTCTTTCATCCTATACTCTGTTGTCAGATGACTTTCATAAACACTGAGCACATTATGCAATTTTTTGATACATAAAAATTTAGTGGTTCCTATATTTTACTTAACTTCTTTGACTGACTCTCAACCTCCAGCTACTACCCATCAGCAAGTAAACCATCTTTCCAGGTCCTTTTTCCAATTAATTTCACTCTCATTCTGCCTTTTAGCCTTTCCAAAGAAGCAGGCTGTAGGAAAATGCATCTGACACTTATATTTTATAGAGATCATTTTGTCATTTATATGATGATTCAGAAGATACTACAGAACCTTCCAGGGCCTATCACTATAATGTCAATTTGTGAAAGTGGCCATTAATAAAGATTTCTGGTTGATGGCATTTTGAGATGATAGCTTATTCTAAATTCCCTGTCTCAATCTATGATAGCAAAACATATAGAACTTGACCTTGAGTTTGATTAAGAATAAAGACTCTGGACTCTGAACTGTGCAGCCGTTGTATAATCTAATGCTTAATATAATCACAATCCTTTCAAAATTCTTGCTTTTGTGGACAGGATTTACATCCATGTTCTAGCCCAACTGTGCTGTATTAAGCTACTCTGTTGATAGCTGCTCTGCTTTGAGGAGAGCATTTAACTCAAAGCTCTGCAAAAATGGAGTGGTGTTCTGTTGACTGTAGAGTACGTAGGTCAAGTGGAATTTTTGGCACTTCATTACATTCCCTAACCCTCACTAAACAGACTTCAAATATATATATATTTGCAACAATTTGGAATAAACACTACATACAAGTGTTGATGATAGATTTTCTGAAGAACTACCAAATGCATCAAGACTAAGGAAAACATTCTAATGATTCTTTCAAACATGAATATATTTAAATTCTTGTTAAACAATCTTCTTATTTAGTCTTCTCAGGCTTTGATGACATGCCACGATTGGCTGTTTATCAAAAACTTAGCAAAAAATGCTTAACAAGATATAATCGTGTGCACACACTTGTGCATAATTAAACCAATTTTATAAGTTGGTGCAGGGTGAAATATGGTCATACCACCCAAGAAAGGTTGGGAACTGACAAATAACACTTTTTCTCTTCATCTATAATGATAAATCTTAAAATATGAATGCTGTGAAGTGATATTATAATCTGATCTTAAATCGTAGTGTAAAACATCTATTTTCATCTCAGTTGAACTAAATGAAAGTTCTAACAATATTAGAAAATTAACTTAGTTATAAGATCAGGCATTAATTGTTAAAACTGGGTTTATGTGGCATAGACTTGGAGTATCCTCATTCTTTGATTTTTAACTAGATAAATTATCTTCTGTGTGTTTTATTTTATTTTATTTTTTTGAAGGAAGATTTAGCTGACTCTTAGTTTCTTCATTTTATAGTTGTTCTTTCAGTTAAAAAAGGGAATAATTGACTGAGTAATGGATATTTCTTAAGATCTCTAAGACTAGGTATTGCATAGCATTAAAGGGTATACTTTTCCATTTGTTTTATGACTTTGTCCAGTTAAAGTTACTGAGATAAGCATTCCAGTATTTACTTGTAACTTGAAACTCCTTCATGGTGTGTCTGGATCCCAAGGGAAAAGAACTAACATTTGAGGAATGCTTACCTTGTGCCAGGCATTTCATACGCATTATCTCATTTAATTCTCATAACCACAAGATATGGTTGATAGTATTTAATCCAATTTTACTTGCCTGAGATCATAATGAGAGTAAAGTATAGAGCAAGGATTTGACCCCTAAGTCTCTCTATTTCTTTAAAGCCCAAGATTCTTTCACTAAACTACACTGGGTTTCCTACTGTAACCAGAACGTGGAAGTGACAAGAAGGAACACTAACAATAAGGGATGTTCTGAACTTTAAGATAAAGGAGTGGTGGGCACACTTAAAGCTCAGATTTCTTCACCACTCTACAATGCAACCATGTAACTAAAAACTATTTGTACCCACTAAAACATTTGAAATTAAAAAAAAAATAAAGTTCCCCACTGAGAATAAAATATGAGAGAGAATAATATAATGAGTTAGAATGAAACTGTATTTCCTAATGCAATGGCTAGTTTAGCAAGTGATAGACTACCCATACCCTGGAATACTATGATATCTTAGAAAGAATAAAACAAGTCTGTTTAAGGAAGTGGAAGGCTGTACATGAGTTGCAAGGTAGTTATAGAACAATATGTACAGTGTTATGCACTGTAACGTAAGAAGCACCCATATACATGTTTGCCTGTACTTCGAAACTGTTCAGGAAAGATACATATAAAGATATTAGTGACTTCTGCTCAGCAGGCTAAGAGTGACTGGTAGGCCAACTGCAGTTTTTAATGTAACCACATCACTGTTGCTTTCCTTTTTTCAGTGTAATTCCATGTATTACACTGACAATTAAAAATCATAATGGATTAGTTGAACAATCTGTAGGAATGACTCATCCCAAATAATGGGTGCTTGAGATGAGAAAGAAGATGCAATCTCACAAAAGCAAAACTGCCCAATCTATGTGAAACTCTAGCCAGGTTTCAATATGACTGTGTGTATATGGCAAAAACTAAACCCTCATCACTTGCATTGCACTCTGCCTTATTTGAAGAAGGTGTTAACAGAAGGCAAATGAGTAACAGTCATTTCAGACTTAACATGTCCAAAATAGAGCTCTCAAACCCACTTTTGCTATGCAACCCATTCCTCCCCCAGTTTTACCCATCTCTGTATGTGGCACTATCATTTCTTTGCTTGCTCAAGTCGAAACTCAAGAAGGCACACTTGCTTTCTCTTTTCCTTTCTTCACCATATCTCAACTAGCAGCAAATCCAACCTAATCAACCTCCATAATATCTTCACCCACTTCTCTATGAGGGTTCCACTCAAGCCACCAATATCTCCTGCCTGGACACTCATTGTCTGCTAATAAGTCTCCCTGTCTTTACACTTGCAATCTCTTTTCCATTTGGCAGTTAGAGCAATCTTTTATACTCCCATAATTTAGCACTCTTCAGTGGTTATTTCCTATATTTAGAATAGAATCCAAATCACTCACTGTGGCCCTCAAGAACCTATGTGATTTGTTATTGGACTACTGTCTGGGTTTCAGCTCCTGATACAATCTTACTGGCACATTAGACCCTAGTGGTGTTGGCCTACTTTCTGCTTCTTGAGTGCTTCAAGCTCTTAGGGGCCTCTGAGGATTTACGTTTGCTTTTTCTTCTGCCTAGAATACTCTTCTCTTAGCTGTTTACATGGATAACACCTTATCAATCTGAACCAACATTTTATAGATAAGAGAATTGGATTTCAGAGATTTTTAATTTATTGGTGGTCATAGCATTTGGTGCATAGTAGGGCTCGGTTTTGAACTCTTGTCTGAATCATTTAATGTTCTTTCTATTATGTTGGATAACAAAGTCAAGATGCCCACACTGGGGCCCTAGTCATGGTTCCGACAATAATCAGCAAACATCTACTTGTTGAAAAAGCCGTAAACAATAAATTCTTTCAGAAGTTCCTTTTATACATTCTCCTTTCTATCTCTAGTACATTCTCCAGCTTCTGCAGAAAATGTTAGGTCAGTTAGAAGGGAAAATATGAGATGGCTGCATTTGGAAACTCTTGTCTTAGAGACTTAGACTTAAATGCTGCTCATTTAGAAAATGACTAGAAAATGACACACCCAGAAAGAAATCCTTACAACTTACTTTGTTAGATGTCCAAAGAGGACTTTCATGGTGTCACGATTTGGTGGAGGGAGTTTTTGTACAAGAGACTTTATAGCTTCAATTCTTGTGTTGTTGTCCTGCTTTTCTGAAAGAAAAAAATTTAAAAAGAAATTTAGAAAAAACCCCAAGATTTCACAAGTATATGAGGGAATTTTCTTAGGAGGATTTTGGACTAAGGCATAACAGTTAAATGTCCTAATCAGCAGCCAAAGAGAACAGGAGTACTTAACCTAGTTATTAATGGAGTGTCTTTATTGTGACTCTGAATTACACAGTGGTAACATGAAAGCAACAGTGTGACTTTGCCATGATATTCCAGATCTTAACATTTGGTTTTCTTGAATTTCCTGTTTTACAAGTGTGGTAGGGTAAATAAGGACTTCCAAAGATGTCCATGTCCTTATCCCTGGAGTATGGCCATGTTACTTCATGTGACAAAAGGGAATTTGCAGATATAATGAAGTTTTGAAATTTTGAAATGGAGAGTTTTTTTCTGGATTATCTGGGTGTGCCTAATGTAATTAAAAAATATCCCAATCAGAGAAAAGCAGGAGGGTGACAGTCAGAGAGAGAAGACAATGTGACAAAGCAGAGAAGAAAGGCTAGGTGATTGCTCTCCCCATTTTTTTTTTCACTTTACAGGCATGGAAAAATAAGAGTTGAGTTACTTAGTATGTTAGGGAATTCATCTTTTCATAGTAACCAGGGCCTCACCAACTAGAGGTATAATTATTTATGGAACTTAAACACTCTATGTGTGCTGACTTAGGTATCTTTCCTTTCTACACTTTAACTTCTAGCAGAGCTCCTGATGATTCTAAAGAGACCACAGCTGGAAAAGATGATACAAAGAATAATATGTAAGGCAGACATGCACCCAATAACCATTATCTTCTTTCTTAGCAAGAAACCCTTTTGTTGCGAGGGTGGCAATACACTAAGCTAAAGAGTTCACTTCCCAGCCACCTTGGCAGGTAGAGTGCCCATGTGACCAAGCCTGGCCAATGAGAGTGAAGTCACAGTGTTAGGTCCACCTTCTGGGGAGGCTGTGTATGAGCTGATTTAGCTGTTTATTATTGTTGTTTTTGAAAAATCTTTTCTCCTTACTGTTTCATTGAATGTAGATGGAATGGTAGTACTGTGGAGATGATCTTGAAAACTGAAGCTCTGCAGAGTGGAACACATGGTAGAAGGAAATTTCCTGAATTTGTAGAGCAGTCAGACCAGTCCTGGACAGCCTGTCTCTGGGTTTCTTTGACATTAGAAAATAAGCCCTGGTGTACCAAAGCCTTTAAGGGTGGATCTCTGATATTGAGGCCCAATATAGTTCCTAATAAGGTGTACTTCCAAAAGCCTGATTCATGATTTCTTGTAAACAAGTATCTAAACTTTACATAGTAGGATAAGAAAGAGTTAGGTTAGAAACTGGCAGTTTCTTTAATTCGTTGTTGCAAAAGAAACTTTTTATAAGGAATTATAGGAAAATATTTTGGAGAAGATAGTATTTGGCTAAAGTGGGATGGGGCAGTCTTCCTAGTAGAACTCTGCTTGGAAGCTTTTCTTTTTCCTCCTAAAACCACAAGAGCCTATAAATAATGCCTCCCACAGTCAAAGCTTTCAAAATTGCAGTTATTCTTAGAAGAGTTCCAACATAATATGGCTTGGACAACTGCAAATGAAAGAAACAAAGGAGAGCGAGAAAGAGAAAAAAGAGAGTTGCAACATCACAGCCTACACCAAACCCAATCTTTTCTGCCAAAGAGTAGAAAGTTCTGATGTAGCTTAATGATAGTAAGAAAATGTGATGCTTCACAAGACCAACTGGGGCCTAGGAAATACCACAAACTGAAAAAAAATTAAAAGAGTAAAACAAGTTAGCAAAGATAAGAATGAAATTGGTATAGTATGCCCAGGTCAGAGCTATTAGGGATGATAGAATGCCTTGTATATCTAACCTTGTGTATCTTAAGTGATTGTCACACAACTATCATTAAATGAGGTGGTGGGGGACCCATAAAAACCCAGATTTTATTTATAAAAAATTGTGTATTTATTCTTACATGTTTAAACTTTAATCATCATCAATGTACTTTCCATTTGAAATAATACACCTATCGAGATGCTTTTTCCAGTGCTCAGAACAGCTGTTGAACTCATCACTGTTGATGTCTTTTAGTGCTTCTGCCATTTTTTTTGTTTCACCTCTTCCACATAGGTAAAACACTTCCCTTTGGACTTTTTTCATCTGGGAAACAAAAAAGTTGCTCAAGGCAATATCGGGTGAATAGGGAGGGTGGGGAATGGGGGTCATGCTGTTTTTGGTCAAAAACTGCTGAACATTCAGCATGGTGTGGGCAGGTGCACTCATAAATCACTCATCATGAAATGGGAAAATGCATGGAAAGAATTTTCAAACAAACTCACTGAAGCCAAACCCAGCCTCTTACAACAATGCTGGTACACTGATGACAATGGGTGCCTAGAAAACTTACATTGTGAAGGAAGCTTGTACTACAAGGGGCTGCCCTCCAAAAAATAATTCTGGGTTTTTTTGGGTCCTCTTTGTACGCATATACATGCATATATATATATGATGTAAGAGGTGGATACATTCAGCTTAGTTTGGCATGATGCTAGCAGTATAATTTACCTGAGGATCTGGTGAGCCACTTGGTTTAAACAATAAGGATGATACTGAAAAGGGAAGAGAGGAGAGGAAAGAAGGAGAGGAAAGGAAACTTTTCTAACCTCACTGAAATCTCTGACTATAGTAATAATCAGATCAATGTCTGAATCTCTAAAAAAGAGATCAGTTGACACTGAGGGCTACAGAAGTAGCAGCCACCAGGCAAGCTTGACAGACAATAAGGGAGAGTGGTCTTAATGGCTACATCCAGCATACCTTGGTTTTAGAGTACATGTGATCCAGTCAGGATGAGTTTTAAAAAGGTTGGACATTGCTTAATTGGAAATACTTGAATTTGCAAGGTCACTTGCACTTTTCTATGTTGCTTGGGCAGAAATGAAAACATCACCAAGTCTGTTAAACCACCGGGTGAAAGAATCATGAGCTTTCCTAGACAGAGTCAGTTCTTCCTCTCCTGTATTCCATTGCACTTAGAACATTCTACTTATCTGGCACTTCACATGGTATTTCCACTGCTTGAATGTCTGTCAATTTCTCCCATTAAACAGAGCATTTTCCTATAAAGCTAGGCAATTGTGATACTGGTATTTAATGGGTTCGATGAATGAAGAAAGACTTTGTGAACTAATGAAAGACATGAACATGAATTGGACTAGATGGACCTTGGTTTGAATTCCCTAACAGATTTTTCTTAACTATGTGGTCTTAAACACATTTCTTACTCTCTTTGAATAGTATCTAAAAAGGTAGTCTTATGGAATAAACAAGATGGTATGTAATGCATTGAGCACAATTACTAGTAAACCTAAGTACTCTATAAAATGTTCACCCTTTTCTCCTCTTGACATTTTTTTGAGGCCCATGCAGGGTCTGGCTCATCTTTATTTCCAGCAGGTAGCATACTATCTGGTTGCAGCTGCTAATTCTTAAACTGAGTTGGTGCCAGTGGTGAAAATGCAATTGTTATGATATCCTAGCATTAGAGAATACCCTAAATACTTTACAATAGACTGAGAAATTAATGATGTGATTGGTGAGTCAGTTATATGTAAGTATCTTTATGAAAGAACGTGGTGGTTTCCAAGTCTGCCTATAATAAACCTTCTACATGAAGAATATTTTATAGAAATATTTTTCTCTCTTTTTCTATATTCACACATACTTGAGGAATAAGACTATTGGGTGGTAGTGCATGCATATTTGTGGCTAAATTATACTTAAGCTCTAGAGGGGGAACTGTACAATGGCTTAGAAAGGGTTAAAATATTATTAAGAAGGAACAATTTATTTTTCTTACAACATAATCAGCACAAAATCCTTTGAAAAGGTTATAGGAAAGCAGTGTTTCTCATTCCAATCAATACCCCACCCACTCTTCCATAGCTTGTAAAAATCAGGAAATAACACAAACACTTCTAAGTGGGGGAACATCTAAAAATACAATTGGATACATTAAAATCGAAATGACACCTTTTCAGATCTGGTTTATTGATGTGTCATATTAGGAATTGGAATCAGCATACATAATACAGGAGTGGTTAATGAGCTAAGATTCATACACAGCTTACTAAAGATGTGTCAACTGTCTTCAATTGATTCAGTGAGCATCTGAAAGACAGCATTTTCTATTAATATTTCTCCTTCAGCATATGGTTTCTCATTATTGTGAAGCATTGAAAGTTCGGAGAAGACTGAGATATCTCTAACTTTTTACATTATGACTGTAGGGTGGGGGGAAAGAAATTTTTCTACATGGAGAATTAGAGAATTTCTTAGGTGAATTGTATAGTAAGATCTTCCCAGAAACAATGAAACCCATAATTCATGCCTTTTCCATTTTTATTTGCTCCTACCTTTCCATTACAGTTTATTTTTGTATCTACTCCATTTAAAGCCTTTACCTGTGTCCAAAAAGCCTCTTCAATCTCTAAACTGTGAACCCACAACTAAACACAAAACTTTTCTGTAGTGGTTCATTTTCGTCATCCAACAGTGACTCTAAACTGTTTCTCACTGATCCCCACACTTACCTACCTGCCCCCACCTTCTCAAACTACACCAAACTCATTGTTGTAAATGAGCTTCCTCAAAAACTACTCCATGCTACTTAGAGAAGTAACATCTACGTGATGTGAGATAGCCTATAATGTTATGATAAAAATGTGACTTTATAGATTTCCCCTCGATTCATGGTTTTAAGGGCACATTTTTCAAAATAGGGTTTATGAGAATTACATTTGAATTTATTGCATGAAATGTTGCTACTAAAACAAGCGTATTTACAACCAAATGCTTTTTAGAAAAGAGATAAGATAAAGTTATATATGATGAGGGAGAGTTCTGCAAAGTGAAAACCTTGGACTTGATGACCCTGGACACTGTTCTGGCCTTATCCCCCATGCCTTTATTATTCTTAACTTATTTATAGCTACAAGTTA